ATAGATAGATAAAATTTAAACGCAATTTTTTTTCAGTGTCGGCTAGGTTTGAACTTACGGCCTTTGTCTTATAAGTTGGAATGGTAAAGCGCTAAATCATAGGGCTTTATATAATAAATAAAGATTTGTAAAACTAATGACACCATTATTTATAAGGGTTGTGTAATTGAATATGCGTGTAGGTATATTAATTGCAGATATGAACATTAATGGACTCGCATAGACATAGATTAATATGTTTTTGTCATAAAAAACCAATGACTGGGCAGTATGAGCTATGCTCTTCGCCTGTCCGAAATGAATGAATTAACAAAAATAATCTATTAGTCATAATTTACAGAGGCTTACCTCTATATGTTTAATTTGGAGGTCTTTAATAATTTAAATTTGGAATTATATGAATCATTCTATTTAAATTACTGGAAAAATATGATAATAATAAAATGTGATAGGGTTACCGTGTTTCCACAATAATATGTCACAAAATAACATGTATGTGACATATTTTGACATTAGTACTTTGTTGTTTCAAGTTTTTACATGTTTCTTAACATGAATAAAATTTTGCGTGACTACTCTATGTATACGGTTTAAACATATATTAAGTATTGTTCAATATTACACTGTGCTTCCGTCAAAACCTGTATTTCATTTTTGATCATTGTTCATTTAAAATTTAACATACATGGGTTATGATAAATGTTTTAAAATAAATTCTGAATCATTATAATTAAATTATGTATTATTGTCAGATGTACGTTAAATGTTTATAAAAGATAATATTCACAAATTTCTAAACACGGCGCAGATTACATATTAAGTTATTCATTTTAAATGTTCCCATAAATATACGGACAGTTGTCATAACTAAAAGGAATGGAAACTGTTGAAACTAACGAAAAATCTGATTTCATTCATAATACATACAATAGTATTCATATTTATTCCCCAACCGTGTAATGATTGAGCTCGGTTGGTGGTCTTTATTTACTTTCATACCAATATATAAACCGAGTAAATCTCCCGTTTTTAATACGTAAATGTATTTTCATGAATAGATAAAAAACCCTTTCGGAATATATTGTAAATTTCTAACACTAGCTTAAAAATAGGGGTAAAAAAGCACGGAAGGTGAAAGAGAAGGAAAATATGAATAATAAAATCCTATATTTACTTGTTATTCTTATATTAGACCTCGGTGGTCTTGCGGTTTAGCAGACGGTGCGATAGTTGCGGGTTTGATTCCACGCACGACAGAAATGTTTGCATTCACGGCGATTGTTTGTGTCGATCTGGGTGTTTTCTATGTATAATATTTATATATTTACAAAAAAAACTTAAGTATTTATATCAGTTGTCTAGTACCCATAACATAAGCTCTGCTTACCGTGGGACTAGATGGCGCTGAGTTAATTGTTCAGGGTTATTTATTCTTAATGATTATTACATTAAATGAGATAAATTATCGGAAATTCCGAAAATAATAAATAAAAATAGTCATATTTCATTTACAAAATTCAGGCATGCGGGCATGGAAAATAAAAAACCTATTTGTTATGATAAATGCATTGTAAACTGGATGCAAATCGAAATAATTCTTTCACATATCGGTACCATGGGAAATCTTTATGCGTTTATTGGAACATAACAATTCTGTTGTTTTAAATGAATGACTGACCTTTATAGATATTCCCGGTTATAATCGAATAAAAATATTCTCTCAATATTGAAAGTAAATATTTCTTTATGGCCTGTGTTAAGTTTATGTATGTTATAATATGAATCTTATGTTATGAATAAGATTTTAAGATTCCAAATGTATGTATGTTATGTAAATAAGGCTAGAAATTACAATATAACAGTTTCTTTATGGTGTAGGGGGCAAAAGAGCTTGCAGCACACCTTTTGGCAATACAGGAATTGCAGGTAAATTGCCAGCGTTTTAAAATTTCCTTTCTTGTAGGTTTCACGGGTGCCAGGTGTGGTTTTTTAATGGGTAAGAATACCACAGGAATTGCCCCATTTTAAAATTTCCTCTTGTTGGTTTCACGGTTGCCAGGTGTTTTTTCAATGGGTACTGGGAGAAAGTCTTTTGAAGAATTTCATACGAAATAATAGGTCTCAAGACGTTGTGAGTGTTGATTCCATAATATGGTTGTGTGTGATAAAAAGATTTTGGTAATATAATATGTATTAGTGTAGGATCGCCATTCACCCGGTTAATCAGGATGGTATTTTATTTGCTGGTAAGTTGCCCAATCATGGATTAATGAAGAATAGAATAGAATAGAAATCATTTATTCAAATAAACTTACATTGAAGCACTTTTTAATAGTCATGTGTGACATTTTTTTTATTAGTGTAATCTACCGCTCATTCGGAATGCTGTCTCATCACAAGAAGAACAAGCAAGAAACTTGTGTGTTGCTCTTTTAAATAATTTATTCTTACTTACAATTTAAGTTTAAGTGTGTGAATACAAATGGTCGATCGTGGTAATTGATAATTGTATGCAAAATTCTATTTTGATTAATCTATTAGTAAAAAGTTATTCAAAACACTGTTGTTCTAAGTCATCTTATTAATTTTATGTGCATTGAAATATCCATACGATTTTTAAAACCGTGTTTTTAGAATAAACAGATAATATGAAAGTGCAAGTGGAATACGACTTTTTAATCGCAATATCAAAACAGCTAATGGCTTATATGATGGTAAGAGGTAACCGTCATCTTTACATGAACATCACTATAGACATCACGTTATCATGTGATAACTGCGATACTGCTCATGCATGCATTTCATAGCACTAATATGTCATGCCTCTTATCCTGTAATTTATTATGAAGTTTGAATTATGCATTGTAAATTATGTGATACAAAGCTTGTAAATGTTATCCTATCTAATTTAAAATATACCTAACTAATATTTTAGTACTCATAACTATTACCTGTCTAATCTGATATTATTTATAATGAGAAAATCTTTTAAAGCACCTTGTACATTTTCAGTTAGAAGGATGATGTACTTTGTCAAAATGTACAAGCAAACGTAAGAGGCATTATATATTTGCTAAAAAAAAAAAACATAGAACCTCAAATGTTGAATTCCTTTTTTATTAACGACATAGCTGCATGGGCATAGTTCCATTGCCTTTCTTAGGATTTAATAGAACAAAAAATAACTGCTTAGCTTGCTAGATGTTCTATTGTTTTGTCTCTCTATTAACAGATTAAAAGCGCTTTATTTTTTTATTTGCGTAATTTCATATACAGTTATATATTTTGGCAGTTTTGTAACTTTGGCTAATAAGATACTACTGTTTATAGTTATATTAAATAATATCTACATTTTTATATGTGAAACTTATTAAGATATCTCTGATAGTAATGTATAAAATAACAAATACATGTAGGTACATGTATACTCTATATGAAGACACAGATACGTAACATATGTTTAAAACTTAGTAAAAATACTCTGCATGTGTTTTACCTGTTCAATGGTTTGATGGTAACACTGCGAAATGCTCAAGGCTTAGATAATAATATGTCATGACTCCATGTTGGGTGCTTAGTTGTTCAGGACTGAAATATGATTCTGTAAATGCTTATGGTGGTTTAGACAGGAAAAATGTATTGCTGTACATTTACTATCGCTTTAATAAAGAATACTGAGAATAACTGTTTATATAAAGCATTATATTGCTCATTATATTTTCTTTAACTATTTTTATTTTTTCTTGTACTGCAGTATTTAAGTTAAGTGAAAACTGACTTTATTTGTTATATATTAGATTTATAGACAATATATCGTACAAAAGATGGACTTAATGCTATAGCATTCTCATCTTTGGGAAGTGCAGAGATACTCAATTGCGGCTTAGCTATAATTAAGAGTATAATTTACATTTTATTTTAATCGTAATATTAAGCAGAATTGTAAACTATTGGTTAGATCGTGATCAGATATATGTGACCACATTAAAAGCAGTTTCCAAATTAAAAAGAATCGGTTCAATTAGAAAATAATTCTGAGCTATCGTACATAAAAAAATGACAAATTGAGAAGTATCTCTTTTTTAGATAGTTGAAAATAAAAAATAATCATGATATTGAAAATATGGATATGCTTGATATGGTACGATAAACATGTGGATGTTATTATTGAAGAAAATATAGAAGAAAAGAGCGAAAGAGAAAGATCAAAATAGATACAGATAGATACATCAAGCATTATGCAATATAGTTTTGAGTCATATCGTACCAATTATAGTTTAAAAATTGGCAAAAGTTTAATGCTCCAGAGCGCTGTTTAAATTATGAATTGTATAATGAACCAAACATTCTAACATAAAGTTAGACAGTTCTCTAGTTAAATTGTATAAATTTAGACATTTGTAAGTATTAGTCTAATTATAATAGAATAATTTTCTATGTAGGTAGTTACTTACATAAAATTATTCAATTCGAATAGGTATATGAGAATTTTAATTGTAGCTAAAATTTTTCCCTGAAAAAGCTTATAAATATTTCCATTTATAATTAATTTCTTATTAACAATTATAATTAATTGTTAATAAGAAATTAGCCTTGACAGTGCACTCCTCCAACATATTGTGTTAAAACATTAGTTGCTGCCATTCTAAGAAATGTATGCTGTGACAAGGCTACTCGATTCCGTGGAAACCGATGCAATTATGTGCCAGTATGCAAACGCATGCATAGCAACAATAATTAACAATGTTATTTCCGTGACCACTCGATGTTCCATAAAAAAAGTTTTATTATACCTACAATTTCGAATTTCGAATAAGCGCGGTGAACTAAAAACGTGCAGAGTAGAGAACGAACTGAGAGGCGACTGGTAGGTAATTCAAAGTGCCTGTAATAAAAAAATGTGCTTTTAGCTTTCATAAATCATAGACTATCGCTACTTTTGCGTGGTTCCGCTTATTTACAGCCAGAAGCGCATGCTCATGAACTCATCACCGACATACCTCCACGTTGACTACGCCAGCCGTTGACTTTCGCAACGATATCAGAGGACTTGGAGCCTCTACTGTTAATTCTCTGCTCTGTGGATGAAATATACAGTATATTAGTATTGTCTATTGCGAAAACGCATCGGAAACTGCCAACTGGCCGCTCCCAGCTTAACTGACATGTACGAACGTTGCCGCACGCGGTTAAATGGCTTTTAAATCGCATTACTGGAATAGACAATTGTTTTTCTATTAAAGACTTTTGTTTGAACAATATTAAATTCTTTATTGGTTTCTCGATAGTGTAATTTTGTCTTTATAGTCTTAACGCTCGACTTCGATCTTCGAGAGGCTCATGAGTCAATCGATTTGCAGGTCTCCTTGCGATTTTAGTTTTAATATCAATTTTAAATTAATCAATTTTACAATGTTCTATTTCAATAGAAATTCTTAGAGTTGAAACATAAAAGGAGAGTAAACTTACGTTTACCTATTTAAAAGATCCATGTAAAGAAATAATATCATGAACAAGTATCGAGATATTTTAAGTGAATATGAATAAAGTAAATATTAGTTTTAAATTTTTTAAAGAAAAATGTGTGTATATAGAAAATTATTCGATGTAAGTAAAAGTAAGAAATAATAAATAAAAAAAAAAGAATTGAAGCAGAAAAGTGTAATATCGAAAAGGTCTCTGTCCGCTCTTTTCGCGCAGCATATGCCATGACGAAGTGACACGACGCTGGTATTCTGCGTATACCTTCATACTGTATAAACATCAACATATTTTAAATAACGTTTCTTAAAGATAATGCCTAATTTATGTATAAAATGTACAGTCTATTTTAATATTTCCATTAGTCTATAATGTATCGTGTGTGGAGCGTCGACCTACCTCAATACAACACGTCATATGTTTTATATGTACTTTAAAACACGTAATTAAGTTCGCCGTTGACTTTTCCATCATTACGTGGGTACAAAATTAGTTTAGAGGTGAGAAAAAATGTATTTCTGTTAGGTACTAGATGACCCGGAGAACTTATAAGATATAAAATGATAAATATACATATATACAGCTAGTATATATGTATATTTATCATTTTATCCCGGCAAACGTTGTTTTGCCATATAAATTAATAACGCTATAAAAAAATAGGGGTTGATGATAGAAGGATGAAAATTTAGGATTGTATGTTGTATCATAAAAAAATAGAAACTAAAAATTTTGTCTAAGAAATAAATACCCCTAACATTTAGGGGGATGAAAAATAGATGTCGGCCGATTCTCAGACTCAATACGCTCACAAAATTTCATGAGAATCGGTCAAGCCGTTTCGGAGGAGTATGGGAACGAAAACTGTGACACGAGAATTTTATATATAAGATATATATATTTATATAAACATAGTAAATCCTAAAATGAGTCCTCCAGTCTAATCAATTTTTTGCTTGTGCACTATATACGAAATATATTTTAGAACAATTCAAGTGTTTGTTTGTCATAATTCATACAATCACATTTTATTTACATTAACTAGTTGACCCCCGCAACTTTGTCTGCATCCCACTAGCTTAATATTTATCATTATATATACATAACATCTTTTTAAATTATATGTATGAACTATATTACTGTAAAGTCTCATCAAAATCCGTTCAGTAGTTTTTGCCTGAAAGAGTAACAAACATCCATCTATACTCACAAACTTTCGCGTTTATAATATTAATAATAAGATTTCTAAATGTACTACTATACGTATAGCTACGTGGGTTTAGAATTAACTAAACTTACGTAGGTAGTTTAGAAATATGGAAAAGAGTATAGGCGACACATATCTACTTTAAATAGGATCATTTGGAAACAAAGATTGTATGTTTCAACATAGAATCTTTGTTTCCAAACGCCCACCGAACTTTAGTTCAGCTCAGCTTGTGCCAATCCTAAGATCCTATTTAAAGAAGTATTTGGCCGCAAACGGACCACATTAAACGAAAGGCTGATATAACTCCTCAGGGCTACGTGCTAAATTCTAGACTGAAATAGAAGTGAAAATAGTTGTAAAATAATTTTCAGTTGTAGTTGCAGCTGTAATTTGCGTGACTGTGCTACATAGAAAACAGGGTTAATTGTGATATGTTGTACACATTTGTACAACATATTACGACCAGTACCCTATAGATAGCAAGCCAAAACTCTCTTATAATATGGGATATGGTAGATCATAATCTTTTTCTTAAAATTGTCCCACTATGTGTGGTCGGACTCGCCAAATTTTGCGGTGCCAGGACAGTCTGTCTTGGGTTGTACGGCAATTTTTTTTAAGTTTACTTGCTGGTCCACCGTTGGTGGCCGGAGGAAGTCCTCTAATTTTTTTACGTTCGGGAAGATCATAATAATATTTATGGACAATTCACACCACATTCGATGGTCGTGGGGTATTGCCTAAGTACTACATGTATTTTAAAAAAATGCATTAAAGTATTTAAATCAGTTGTCTAGTACCTATAACAGAAGCTACGCTTAGCTTGGGACTAGGTGGCGCTGTGTCAATTGTCCAATTACCTATTAGTTATTCGTATAAACATCCGAACCAATATTCTAAAAAGGCGTCTACGTAAGTATCTCTGTCTCACATTCCATCAGTCGCCAATTAGTTTGATTTATTAGCTGTGTTTCAGTTGAAGGGTCGATATAAAGCAGTAGGATTACAGAATAATACAACATTATCATAATCCACTGAAATGGCAACGCATGAGTGGTATCACGGACATCATATGATCACGTGATGTCCATGGTACTCATAGACATGGCGACAGTTACCATTTACAGTATACGTGGCATCATATTAAAATTTTCCGGAATGGCAACTCATGGTGTCAGCTTATAACTCTGTGTGTGTGTGTGAATGAAATTGGATGACTTCGGTAGTCTAGCGGTTTAGCATACCGCTTTACGTCGCGGGTTCAATTCCTCGCACGGCAAAAACATTTGTATTTATGAGTATGATTATTTGTATCGGTCTGGGTGTTTTCTATGTACAACATGTATGTATTTATAAATAAGTAATCTATGTATTTGTATCAGTTATCTAGTGCCCATAACACAAGCTATAGCTAGCTTAACTTGGGTCTAGATGGCGCTGTGTGAATTGTCCTGATATTATTAACACTTTCTTCCAGTTACATAAGAATAGAAAAGAAGATTACCTAATACATATTTCCTGCTTTAATCCAATATTACGAAGCTCGAGTAGGTATTGAACAGTTTTTACAACTATTTGCTTATTCGATATATTTTATATTGACCATTAAAAGATGGATTAATATCTTCGGCAAACATTTGGCAGATTTACGACCATACTTATTAATAGACTATACTGCAAACTAGTTTATTTATGATTAAAGTTAGTCATCATTTAATAAACTTCATTACTGTATGAATAATGTTTGTTAACCACCATAGTAGGTATATAAATTTTTTTTTTGAGGTTTTGGGCTATTGGCATCGCTAAGACCTGTAGCATTGCGATATACATAGATCTATTGTGCTCGCCCTTTTCAAAGTTCGCTACCAGAACAGTCAGGGACAAAAATTGAAAGATATGCTTAGGAGCGATGGTTTTTATCTGCTCAGGACAGAGTGTATGTTTTCCAAAGTAGATATTTAGTTTATGCATGAGTGGCCTACAACCGTATACGATGTGGAGTGGCTGTCGAGATCGAAGTATAAAAAATGAACAAAAAAAAAATATAATATATACCCTAACTTTAATGGTATGTTAAATACATTTATATAAGAAACTAATATAAGGAAATAAGTGATTGCCATTTTTTTGGGCAAATCATGATATATGCGACTACTATTGTCCTATTAAATATTTTTAATAACAAATTGTTATTTTTTTACTTGAAAAGGCATGTTATATTTGCCTCCTGATGGAAGGTTGAAACCGCCAATATACATGAACAATCTCTAGGATCTCATAAACTATAAAGTAACTTCATATATAGTGATAAATTCACTATCAGACTTCATCCTTCACACTAGAACATGGCTAACAAAGTAAGCAGGTGCTTTCATTATGAATTTAAAAACAATCAAACTTAAATATTAGGGAAAATTAAACCGATAAAATTATAAATAATAATTTTTTTAATCTTCAATTTCAAGCAATTAATTATGAAGCTATTTTAAATACAAATATAAAATAAATCCTATTCTTCATAATCAAGTATACGTACGAGAACTTCTGTTATTTTATTATATAAACATACTAGTTTTATAAAACAATAACTAAAATTATCAAACTTAAACAAAGGAAACTATTGTTTGAAATCAATTATCCAAAAAGTGTCCAAGTGAATAAACATCTGGAAAGTTCGACAAGTTCCGAATTAGTTTAAATCAAATCATCTTACCACGCGCTTTGAATTTATTATCGTTATATTTATTCAAAATAATATAATTTTCCATTTAATATTTATTCTGTAATAAAATGACAGTGCAAGTAAAAAGTATCGGATATGTTTTTAATTTATATGATATTGCAATAAATGTCGGCCATTTTGAAAACTTTTTTCTTAAAGTACGAAGCAAAGACACAAAGTGCAAACAGAATGCGTCGCTGTAATAAAAATTAAAAAATAAAGTAACATTTTAATTTTGTTTATATACCAGATTATTTTTGGGTTATTTGATTACACAATTACACATCTTTAGAAACACAAAGCGACATTTGAATGTGAAATAAATGCTTTATTTTCCTCGTATATAATTTCTTTTATTACGATAAAACAAGGTACTCATTTATTTTCATTTTCATATACACGCCTAAACTCGGCGAAATTAAATAAAATACTATTCGTCATGTTTTTCCCGTGTTGTAATTGTGTGTGTTTGGCTTAAGATTTTTTTTACCAATTTCAAGAAAGGTGAAAGCTTTTTCGATAGTATTTTTGCGTGTAAGTTACGCTGTATATACTTTGCTTATTATAATTTGATTTCGATGATTTTTATCAATATCATTTATTCTGCATTGGTTATATAACTGTTACAATAGATACTGCATGGCACATAATTAACCTTTACGTTTTTAATATTACGTATGTCACAGATTAAAAATAACGTTTTAATTGGGTTTACTAGACATTACATGGCACAATCCATTACCAAACGCAAAACCATTTTTTTCTATATTAAGTCATAAACTGTTAATAAATATATTTGCAAGGTTCAAATAATTATGAATTTGTATAATGTAATTCCGAGGTTCAAGATATGGCAAAGTGACGAAGAAAAAGAAGGAAAGTCGATATACCACCTTGTGGTATATATGGTTACGACGACAGAGAGAAACAACAATATGCAAGTCAAATTATAATTGAAAATGGACTTATCCCGAATATATTTATTCAACTTGTAAGTATCTATTATATTTAAAAAAAAAACACTTGAATTTATGTGTTTAATGAGCATGCCATGTGCTAAGGAAAACAGCGTGTGGGAGCTTGTGAGCGCATACACCCGTTTCATAAATTATACATTTATACTTAATCTTTGAAGGTTATTTAATTATCACACCTACTCTTTAAATGTCCAGTATAGACGGAAGGAGAATAGACGGTAAGTTTGTTAAGTATCTCTTTTATAAACTTACATAATTCATTTTTATTTTATCACATAGTATGTAGTATGATTAGTTATTTAATAAATTTAAAATAATTTAATTTGCAGTCTGAGAATAAAAAGCAAATTATAGCCTGCCATTAATAATTAGACTCCATATTGTATAAGAAAAAGTTCGAAATTCAAATATCTGTAATGCTGGTACAAAAAATACCTCCGGACACAGAAGAAGAAAAAAAAAAAGTCACTTAAGAATATTTTTTTACTATTGAACTATTAGTGAGGCAAAGGTAAACCATATGGTTTCCCAGTGCACTCAAAATTGTTAGAAATTATGTAGGTGATGTATGCAATTGCTGGATATTCAGAAGCGATTCTTAATAAAGAGATTAAAAAGGTCGAGTGAACTTTATAAGATTATATTAGATAGGTATATCATCAACGGTTGGCTATATAGACTTGACTATTTGATTTGTCTTGCTCTCGTGTATAAAAATAGCAAATCATATCGAAAAATTCTGATAAAGTACCTGAACTTCTTCATTGTAATATTTAAATATATATATATCTCTTAATATAGTTACATTATAAATGCAAAATATAAATAATGCATTGAAATGCATACAAACAATCAGAGAAATATGGCGAAATTACAAGAACCCATTTTTATAATTATTATAATGTAAATAATATAGGATTTCGAATCACATACCGTAAAATTAAAGATTTGTACTTATTATAATACATTTTCCTCGTGTGCGTTGGTGGTGTATTATTACAAAAGGTAGGACTTATAATAATGAAGTCATATAGTCTAACATAAACAGAAACTGTTTTAGAATTGTAATCTTGTTTCCTTTGGATATAATGTGTCACTTATTAAGAATATGTGTAAAGAGTGTTGTTTTCAGAAAGTTAATGACAACATTATAATAATACAATGTAGTAATAATTGCAATTATATAGTTCTAACCATAATACTAAATACTGTAATCGATGTATTTATAAGAGTATGGTTATTTTATAAATTGCCAAATACTTCCTGCTATCTGGTAGTTAATTATTTTTTTTAAATAGAGCGATACCAAAATTGTTAATATGCAACAACCTGTATTATTTCCAAAAAAGAGCTTGTATAGTTTTATATAAAAACCATGTTGTTTAAGGAAGGTGAGCTTGCACATGAGGACTAATCCTTAAAAATGAATCTATCCAAACAATTGCCAGCAAATATGCCGTGCTAAGAAAATACATACATAGTTTCACACAAAAATAAGATCTATGCGAGTATTATATACAACTTATTTTTGATTAAATTATAAATGTAAATATGTATAATATTTATTTGAATTTCGAATTTATGAAAAAAACAATCATGAACTTTTTTTTCAGATATTCGAAATTCAAATAAATTTTCAGATTCAAATATTGTGAACTCTACTATACACTATGTAAAGTGTTTATTTATAATTTTTATAATAAAAAGTTCTTAACAGTGAAATTAGGAGAATATTTTTATATTGAGATTATTATATTTTTTATATGAGAAAATAATACTGATTAAAGTTTAGTATAATTCACTTATATTCATTTTACCTGTAGCACTTTCAGCTAGGCATATGACGAGCAGTAACGTGAATATTTTTGTAGCGGTCGCTCTGGAGAAACCGGATCTTCTTCTGTTTGACTTGATGTTCTCCATTTTTGAATTGGTGAAGAAACTTACTGTTAATCTGTAAGAGAATACAACTATGAGATTGTATTACAAATGTTACGGGTAATGTATATAATAATATAAATATATGAACAACACTTTGTGAGATCAATGTGGCAATCAATCTTCTACAGATATAGACAATAAATTTCTTTGAAATTTTGCGATGGGAGAATTAGTACTGAATGATAATGATAGGTCGTGGAAGTTTCATTATCACTTATTTTTACAGCTTCTTTTAAATTCAGTTTTTTTAATTACCTAGTACATGCCAGATTTTTTTCTAATAAATAAAATTAAAAAAAAATTGTCAATTACCGTGTAATTGTCAATTTTTTGTTTAAGGATGAATAAAGATTTTTTTTCCTTTAAGAAGTATTCATAAAAGCATCATATATTTTCTGTAGTTTATAAATTATTAGATCATCATTGTTTAATATTGTTTTCAATATTTTTTTATTCACTATTACGTGATGAAAATTGTGAACTTATATTTAAATAATAGTTCATGTATATTTTAAATAATATTTGAATTATGATTGATAATATTTAAATAATGAATGCTATTTCATTTATTTATTGCTAACAATATTACAATGGAATATCAATTTACATTGCTAATGTTAAAATAGCAAGTCCATTGAATATTTTACATGCTAAATTGAATTTTATTATTTTATGTTTTAGGTAGCTATTGTTTCTAGACTAGCTCACACCAACGACTATATTCTTGTGGAATTACAATATTATTATGTTCTATTTTTGAATTAGCTATACGTTTTGATTCGGGCACTATCATTAATTTTATAAGAATTTAATGAATTTATATCTATTACTAACTTTTCGAAATGATTCTTGAAAAGGCTCGTTATTTTTAGAATTAATAACAGTCTTACACAGCAATTATTTTATTGTAAGTAAGACAATAAAGATGGCAATGGAGATCTTTGGGGGAGGCCTATGTCCAGCAGTGGACCTCTTCCGGACTATGATGATGATGAAGGCAATAAAAAAATTCATACAAAAAATATTTTGCGTATACGACTCAAGTGTTATAATGCTGAAGTTAGGTTTATTTGAAAAACTTTTAGCATCAGATTAATTATCGAGGAAAGTTATAAGCTATATATTAAACAATTAGAGCGCATTTCATTTACTGTGAAAGACAATTGATGCAAAAAAGAACAAAATCTGTTTCTTTAGAGAGATTTGGTTAGGTTAAGTTACGCAGGACAGCATGTATTTCAAACATATACGCGGCAAGTATAAAAATATTGGAATAAAATAATTTTTTCTTACTTTAATAATCAAATTGTTAATATAAATTTTAATAATAAAAACTATTTAAATATTGCTATTACAAATGATTGCTTCATATTCCGTTGATAAACAACGTCTTAACTGTTATAATGATTGTTTCGCTAGGAAATATAGCATCTGATTAAACCGCGGCTGTAATGAATATCTACTGTAAAGTAAACAAATAAATAATACGAATATATTACCAACAACAGTGGAGTTTACATTGGAATATCATTACAAATACTATTATATATTTATTATTAAAATGTATATTTAGATATATACATAATGTAACGTAATGGTAATAATAATATTTATTATAAATAATATAATAACTAAATTATTAAAATTTATTTATTAAGAATATATAGCAGAGTAACTAAAATAGGTGTTTCTTTTTATTTTTGATTGGAGGTTTGGGCTATTGTTTGTGCTTGGCCCTGTAGCACTGCGACCTACATACATCTATTGTGTTCGCCCTTTTTCAGAGTTCTCTACCTAGACCCGTCAGGGACAAGAATTGAAAGATATTCTTAGGAGCGATAGTTTTTATCTCCTCAGGATAGAATGTAGACTTTCCAAAGGAGATATTTCGTTTATTATACACTTATATTGTGCATGAGTGGGTGTACCACTCATGCACAATATAAGTGTTACATCGTTCGATGTTTGAACGAATGTATCTCAGAACTCAAACTATACTAGCCCCAAGAACATAGTCAGTGTTTTACAGTTCTAAAATGAAATTAATAATATTCCAATTAAAACTATCCAACTACTATATTGAAATTGAGATTTTACGATCTGGTTCATTCTTCGGCGCGTGCAAGTTCTGCTCTTCAGTACTTTTCGATAGAGTAGTGCAGTGCATATGTAATATATATTATATCTTTGTTCTTTGAATTAGAAATTGAACGTATGAGTGGTTTCCACTTCTCCTGGATGAGACAAGGCTGATTGTTGTTATTAGGGACTAATATGTTTATGATAAGTGATAGACCTCACTTATTCACAGGCACTATTTCTCATCTTTTTACCCTTTCACACTCATCATAATTTTTATGTGAATTCACTAGGAATTCAGGAATTGAGTTCTATATATATATATGTAGTGATGAATATATATACATATATATGAATTCATCTCAATAATATAAATTGATCACTGACCAATTTGTGATTGAAATTAATAATAACCCTATACTATTCACACATGTGCCAAGTCGCTAGCTAAGTAGAGCTTGTGTACGGGTACTAGACAACTAATGTACTTATACACATTATTTTTGTATTATTGTTATGTGTACATACATAATAAAACAATCATAATCATGAATACAAATATTTGTACCGTACGAGGAATCGAACCCGCGACCATCAGAAGCGGTGTAAATCACTAGACCACCGAGACTGTTAAATTATAAATTAAATGTTACATTAAAGTTATAGTCCATAATGAACAAAGACGTAACAATACTAACTCGGGCACTTAGTGGCGAGTTAGTATAATTAGTTGATCGGGAAGTTGCTAAAGACTAGACACTTGGCTCCCCTGTCGCAAAGTTAGTGCTTACATTGGGATTTATAGGAATTGAAAATAAGAGGATTGCACTTTAAAGGTAACTTGTAAATGCTTTACAGATTTGTCATCTTTATAGGACTAAAAGACCGAACTGAACGTTATGTTTAGACTGTATTACGAAGATAGAGATAGGCTATGTGTATCACAATATAATCTCAAGGCTGTAAAACAGGGGGATGTTTTGTAGACGAAGTCACATATATAACATTAACTTGTATTGTGGATATAAGACAATTGATAGACTTAAATACAAAATTTTTATTTGCTTATAATATATATGGACGGTTTGACTATTTTTTCTTTGTGTTCCTGATTTGCTGAATTTTTATTTCTTTAAATTAGATAGCACTTCAATCTCCGTACACCTCGCTATAATATTATAAGTAATTTTTCTTATATGAAAAGTTGTAAAATAAATTTCTATATATTTCTGAGAGTCTGGTTAAAAATACGATCTCCTACGCAAGTCGTATTAAAAACAATCCATTCATATGAGCAGACATTAAGTTGTTTCCGTTAGCGGCAGACATGAAATGCATTGTTCCAACAAACGCTGTTGTTTTACATACACGGTGTATAATTCATAAGATGTAGCGGAAATACCGAAATTATATTATATAACATGTTGACTGCCCCTGCAATTTTCTGAAATCTGGCCTAAATTATGTTCTTAAGAACCCTAAATCTAGTGCAGAGGTTGTCATCATAAAGTATAAAATATGTTTATTAAAAGCACAGTTGTCATAAAGTATAATACAAAAAGTTCCTTGAATAATAATATATTATTTTATTTCTTGAATTTGAAGTATTGTAATTATATTTTTGGTCGTTTTTTTAATAAATTTCCTGTTCCAGCAATCCAGTACAGTGGACCCCCGGTTATCCGACAAACGTTTTGCAGGGCAGTGTCGGACCATCGAATTTGTCGGATTATAGAGTGCCGCCTAAGTGTCCCCTATAGTCCGGAATTTTTTACAAAAGAGTATCTTGTAATCCGACAAATTACAGATCCAGTGATAAGATTCTATGTTATATATGTATGTACATATATGTACTCTGAAGTATATTGTTTAAAAAATATTCCATAATAAATAATAGACCATGTCGGATGCAAGAGGGGCAGGATAAGACAGGGGCTGGATTACCGCGGGTCCACTGTATTGATTATTTGATTTTTTCCTAGAAGCCATTAATCGATATTATTCCGAGTTTAATCATAACTGCACAAAAATGGAAATTAAACAGAGTATGAGATAACTCGTAGTTGTCGTCCTAGGAGAGAACAAAGTCTAAGAGAATGAAATCTCATAGTTAGCAGTACCGTGTTGAATGAATAGATTAACTTTATGGCGCACGTATGGCTTGGGATTAGGTTGATATTTTCTAAAATATATTAGTATATTCAAAATGTTTATTTCAGTGTACCTTAAATAATAAGAATAATGTGAATGTAAAATATGAGTATCATAATGTATATGAATTCTGAATTTATTAGAAAAAAATATTATATGTCGAAGCTTGTAAATTACGACACCTACATGTAAAGCTATTGTAGTGTTTGAGATTATTTCATTCTTCGGAGATCTGAACAGATTCTGTAAGTTGAAATTTATTACTAGTTACTCGCCCCGGCTTCGCATGGGTGTACATATACATGTATTATATAAACCTTCCTCTTGAATCACTCTATATATTAAAAATAAAACGCTTCAAAATCCGTTGCGTAGTTTTAAATATTTAATCATACATAGGGACGGACAGACAGCTACAGCGGCTTTGTTTTATACTATGTAATGATATATGTATAATGTTTAATTATATTATAAAACCTAATTGGAAAAATAAAGATTATTCAACATAGAATATTTAATTTATTTTATTACCGATAATTCTATCAACAGACAGTCAATTAGCAAATTATTATCAATAATAGTAGAATTATTAATAATAGACTAAAAAATAATAATAGAGATCAATCAATCATATTAATTTATGAGAATGATCGCTTTTTGTGTTCATGTTACACGATATATTTGTCAACTCTGATCTGATTTGAAATATTTTTATAATGGTAAGATTCTAATTGGTAGGGTAAGACCACGACATTCTTTAATATAACTGGAATGGTA